CCCCAAAACCCCAAAACCCCAAAACCCCAAAGAAAAGATAAATTACTACTTCTTGCAAAATGAATTAATAATTACGATATATACTTAAATTATAATGTCCACCGGATATAGATTATAAAATTAGTTGCAAACATATTTATTTATCATTAAAGCTTTCATTTAGGTACATGCTGTACCATGATTTAAGTCTGCTGGTTATTCCAGAAATTCTACTATGTATTCTTAAAGCTTTTCAAATGATTCTATAGGTATTTTTCCTTTAACTTTGATCCATAACTCATACTTCTCAAACCTTATTAAGGCTAGAAATCTAGAACCTTTGGCTTAAGATACTAGCCATTGCCAATTTCTTACTAAGTTTTAGTTACTGGAACATTCCGAGTTTAATGGTTCTTAAATTGCTAGTCTTAATATATTGCTTAGGCCTAAGCCTGCATATTATTGTCATAAATCGAAACAGAACTTTGCTTCCTAAGATTCTGTTTATTTCTATGCTAAGGAGAAGTATGCTTATTAGAGTTTTAATTGCCATTCATGAACAGTTGAAATTGGTTATTGTTAAGAGTTTGAGAAAACAGATTGGGATGACTGTCTGAAAGCTGATCCTTGCTAATGATTTTCTGAATCTGATTGCCCAAGGGAGGTCGTTAGTGATTAATATTAGTCTAAGTTATCATTCCAGACTGAATATGCTTTTATACGTTGTGGTAATTTATCTTTGAGCTATCCAATTTAGCAGAACTATTGATGTAATTAGCAAGTCTAGAGGATAAGTTATCTTGCTCCTGCATCTCAATTTAATATTTAGTCATTTTAATAGCATCGAGCAGCTGCTTTTAGCCTCCATTAGGGTAATTATGCGCGTTGATGTTATTGGAATTGTTGTCAATCTTGATGTTGCTATTGTTGTGATTTCTGATCATAAAGTCTGCATCTTTGTTTACTCTCAGTGGCTTTAATTCAATTTGTTGGGTTTTAGTCGACTAAAGCTAAGACTCTGGACTTAAGTCAGACAAGATTCTTTGCTCAATTATTTACGGGATACTTTGAGTATTATCGGTAGTCTACATAAACAGTTACATAGTATTATTTGTTGGCATACAACTAGTATTGTTATTTGAAGTACTCTGCTTGATCAGCTGTCCATAGAATGTCGTTGATAGTTTATTCGGCTTGGATATGTTTTTAATCATTAACGGGAAAAATTCCTTCACCATAATACAACTACCCTTAGTAATTTACTATAACTATACTTACCCACTGCTAATGTTTTAGTTGGTATTAGAATAAACATTTGGATTGTTTTGATTAGTACTGCTAATATTTGGATTACTAGTCAGATGTGCTGCAATTATTCTTTTAGAAGCAGCTTCTTCTCAGGCTTCATTGGTTTAAAATTCAAAATTTGCCTTCTTTGAGGATTTAGATTGAGGTTCATTGCTGGTTTGAATATTATTGTGAGATCTGTTTTGAGAGGGATGGATTCTAACCTAGCTAGAAAAGTTCATTCTTGTATCATCTTAGCCTGTTATATCTTAACCTACCATATCCTCAAATGAACCATGTGAGTCACTCTTGACGATTCTTCTCTATCTCAGGTTAGGTGTTACACTAGCTAGATTTCTCTTTACTATTTTTTTGCGATCTAATTTCTAGAAGCCATTTGTTTGAGAAAACTATCACTATTGAATTTGAGCTGAGTCTTCCTCTTCTATCTTCTTCAGTTACTGTTTATTATTTTTGGTTGAGGCTATTTTAGCATTTTTGCTAGAGTAGTCCTGATTCATGCTTTGATTGTTATTTTAATTAAGGGTATTTTTCATGGAGTTAGGCTAAGGTCTTGAGGCTGTCGACACTATAAATGGCTTAGGCTTTTATTCCATTGATTCTAGTCTTTTCCTATTTCTCAAATGACAACCAGTTTAAATCTCCCAGATCTCCTTTGAAGCATCCATGAATCGAGCATATTCTTCCATAGTGCCATCATCACAAGGATATATCATTTCGTAGCCACCAAGATTCTTCAACTCATATAAATCCCTCATCTGCATATATTCCTTCTTCATTTTTTCTCTTTGTTCTCCTTAAGGTTTTTATCTATTTCCTGTTAGCATTCTTTTTTCCATTTCCTCTTGCATTTATTGCTTATAGAAATTCTTACGCTTAACACTCAAGCCTAGTAATTTCATGGTATCTCTAATAAGCTCATTCTTAATCTTATAATCTAAGGGTGAATCTGTTGAAAAACTTGGGCTATGATTTACCTCAAGTAGCATAGGTCTACATTTGTGATCTATCATAATGTCGAAACCTAGAATCTCAAAACATAATGAATTTTCTAGGTCATCAGGTTAGCAAGATCTGTAAACATGATTAAGAGAGGGTAAGCCTGCTATCAAAGTTTTTATGATAATATCTTTGATTCCTTCCCAGAGTCCCTCAACATCTTCTCCCTTGACTTGCTTCAAATATCTCATTGTGTATTTTAAACTTCTCTTATGTCCAATAGAGTCATTTTTAGCATCTTTATTCTGCACGAAATTGGATGAATACTTATTGACAGCATAGTTTGTAAGATGCATACACATCTCTTCAATATTATTGCTGTTCACAGCTTGATATGGCTCTGTGGCTAATCTTGTAAGGCCATCCTTGTATAGGAAAAGCCTTAAAGGGTCAACTCCAAAAACAAGCACATATATTCTAAGATCAAACTTTAGCCCATCCATTAGATATGGATTTTGGATATATCTTTACACAACACAATGCTCGTTAGCCTCAATTTCATTAATATTTTTTGTTAAAAAAATACCTTTTCCCTGACAAGATGCCTCAGGCTTAACAATAAAAGTTTGAGGTTTACGCTAGTTTTTTTCTTATGTTGTTTGATAATACGATCTAAACTCAGTCAATTCACTGGGTAGCATCCAGGTCCTAGGATAGAAATCGTACTCCTAGTCGAATCTTTTTCTAAGTTTATTCAAGTGCTTGCCTAAATGATTTTTCCTAGCTAAAACGTACATTCCAGGAAAATGATTTAATCTTTAAAAAGGCTTCAGCCTTTGTAACTTATCGGGATATATGCCTCCATCACTCCAGAATATGTCGAAATCCTCAGCATCCTCCTCTAATAGTCTCATATTGAAGTAATCCCTTGAGACCTCTCTCACTACGTCATACCTGCAGTTGTAAACATTGACACTCAGTCGTTATCTCTTGTGCTAGTTTAACTTTTTCTTTTATTTTTCATTACCATCCTCGCGTTTGGACTGCGGAGTATTACTTGAATTTGAGGTCTTGGTCTTTTGGTGGCTCTCCTTCCTTGAGTTAACAAAACTGTTAGCAGTTTGAAGCTGTGAGTTATTCTGATGATCAAGCGGGGTCAGCTTGGTAAAAGACTGCTTAATTAATCCCGACGATGATATATTCTCATTTTATTGGTTTCTTTATTTCTTCTCATTATTGTTATTTATATTCATCAAATTTTGCTACTGCATTTTTATGTCTTTAAGGTTTCGGACTAAGTCATTGAAGCAATCAAACGACTCTTCTAGTAGCATTGACTCATCTGATGAGCTAATATCGTCCTCCAAGTCATATTCTTAATTATCATCCTCGTAATCTTCATCATCATCTGGATCGTCTTCATATGTATTTGTATTTTGCAAATCAGTTCCCTCCTTATCACTTGAAGTTCCCTTTCACATCACGCTTTGCCTCTTGTTAGAGTTTGTATGTTAATTGCCTAAACTAAGACGCTGTAATTTACTGAATGTGCTGGGTTTGTTGTTGCCTGTAGAGTCCTTAATAGTAGGCTCATTAGAACTTTATATCGAGGTTTATTAAAGACTATTTTGCATTTTATGATGATGATTGATTTAATTAATAAACTTAACTAAAATTATTCTTAATTTTAAAGCATATTTATTTTCACAACTCAACCTTTCTTGATTATACCTTATTTTAGCCTCTGGGGTTTTGGGGTTTTGGGGTTTTGGGG